GTAATAAATTCCTGTTGCTTTTGCTCAATGTCATCTTTGCCTCCTTCATACAATTTAACAGTTGGTTAGCCAAATGACCTAAAAACTGTACTATATATTGATTTCTTGTTCTAGCACTTATCCTCAGATGACATGAACACAGGTGTACACACTGTCGATCACATACTCTGATACATATTTTTACAGATGATAAGAGTACACCTTCTGTAAAACCAAAGTGAGACAAGTTTGGGAAGAAAATTATTTCCAACAAACACCTCTCTCTCTACTCTTCTAAGTTTTCTCCACCTCTACTACACAATTCCATACTTAAACAGCTTAACTGGTTTCCTCCAAACTGTACTTTCAACTTCCCCCCTTTATTTGAGATTCTGTCACCCAGACTGGAGTGCAGTACATGATCATGGTTCGTTCACTGCAGCCTTGACCTCCAGGGCTCAATCCACTCTCCTACTTCAGCCTCCAGAGTAACTGGGACTACCAGCACATGCCACCACGCCCCGCTAATTTTTTTGTATTTTTTGTAGAGATAGGGTTTCACCATGTTGCTCAGGCTGGTCTCAAACTCCTAGGCTCAAGTGGTCTACCTACCTCAGCCTCCAAAAGTGCTGGGATTACAGGTGTGAGCCATGATGCTTTCCTCAAGCCCCTTTTCTAAGCTCCCCTCTCCCAATTCATTATTCACCTTTCAACTGAAGCTTTAAAAATGCACAGCTGGGAAAAAAAAAAAAAAAGTGTATCTGTCCCCCACTTAAAAACTTAGGAAAAAGACCAAAAAATTCCTATTTTGGATTACCAGGCCTTGCAAGATCTGGACCATGATTACTTGCATAGCCTTGTTTCACCTGCGCTTTTCCCCAGGAACTTTCTCTTCCAATACTACCAAGTCTCTCTGGGTTCCCACGATACGCCTTGCCTTCTCTGGCCCTAGTTCCTTCAACACGTTTCCTCTCTGAAGTTCATTTTCCCCCTTAGACTTTTCTTTTCCTAACTTTCACTTACCCTTCTAGTCTGTACTTAAAGCTCACTTCTTCAATGTGGCAGAGGCTGTTGCTTTGTATCAAAATCAATAGTTCACTGAGATTTATTTGGAATGACTATGGCAACAGAACAAAAGAAAAGTGCTTGGCCAGGCGTGGTAGTTCACGCCTGTAATCCCAACACTTTGGGAGGCTGAGGCGGGCGGATCATGAGGTCAGGAGATCAAGACTATCCTGGCTAACACGGTGAAATCCCATCTCTACTAAAAATACAAAAATTAGCCGGGTGTGGTGGCAGGCGCCTGTAGTCCCAGCTACTTGGGAGGATGAGGCAGGAGAATGGCGTGAATCCGGGAGGCGGAGCCTGCAGTGAGCCGAGATCATGCTACTGCACTCCAGCCTGGGCAACAAAGCGAGACTCCATCCCGAAAAAAAAAAAAAAAAAAAAAGTGCTTTGTATTTAGTAAAAAGGTACCATATTTTAGTACCTGCACATGACGGTCTATAGGTCTATAAAGTTTAGAATTAAGAAAACTATACCTTGAGGAGCTTCCAGGATAAAAAAAGTTAAAATTAACAAAGCAGAGACGAATATGAAATATAAACAATATGCCAGCAAAAGCTGAAGGAAAACGGGACTTAAGTAAGGCAATAGCAGTTTGGAGAATGGAAGATGGAGGAGGCTCTTTCAGAAGAATGAGATGACTTTTGCTATGCTAGTACGCCAAAGGATGTGGAAAAATAAAAAGCTGTGTAGAGTAAGGAGATATATTTAACTGGAGCAGAAGACACTGGCAAAAAAGTACTGGAACTCTTACAGATAAAAGGGACCTTAAAAGATGCTAAAACCCCCTAATTCCAAGATGAGAAAAAGGCGATCCAGGCCAGGCATGGTGGCTCATGCCTGTAATCCCAACACTTTGGGAGGCCGAGGCAGGTGGATCACTTGAGGTCAGGAGTTCGAGACCAGCCAGGCCAATATGGCAAAAACCCATCTCTACTAAAAATACAAATATTAGCCAGGCATGGTGGTGCGTGCCTGTAGTGCCTGTAGTCCTAGCTACTCAGGAGGCAGAAGTATGAGAATCACTTGAACCCACCACGGCACTCCAGCCTGAACCCACCATGGTACTCCAGCCTGGGTGACAAAGTAAGACCCTGTCTCAAATTAAAAAAAAAAAAAAAAAAGCAGATCCAAAAAGGCCAAACGAGTTTTACCCAGAGCTAATGAGTAGCAATTCCTGGCAAAGAATCCAGGTCTTCTCATTCCTTTTCCTTAAGCACTCTGGGAAAGCACTGTACCAGGTACCCTTAAAGAATCTAAAAGAAATGTCAGTTTCTTTACCTTCAAAGAACTTAAAATGTTGCTGAAATGATAAAACACATGAAAAAGAAAGAAAAATATGAAAACAGGATATAAATTTCTGAAGTGCCAAATTACGCACTACAGGAATATATTAGGCATTTAGGAGCTGGGTTCCAACAACTAAAAGGAAGATCAGGAACAAAAACAAAAGGAACCAAAAGACAAACCAGTGATTGTGAAGTGGTACTCAAAGGAAAATAATCTTGATGACTTGTGTTCAGAATGGTACAAAGGGAGAGGAAGGGAAGAAAACGGGAGGAATAATAGTAAACTTTTTTTTAAAAGAGCTAAAAAATACAGACTGCTGTTACACCTCATGCAGGTGGCAGATTAAGCAGCTCATGTTTGCAAAATTACTTCAAATTACAAGACCAGTTACAATATATAACAAGCTGCACAAGTTCCAAGTGTAAGAACTTCACAAGGCCGGTATGACTCACTGATCTGTACCAACAAATCATTGATGGAGCTCTGCTTATAAAAACAAAAGCAGAGAATGAAAGAAGTCTATTTTCCAAAGAATTGTGAACTTTGAGATTATCTTTTTCTTTTAGAAGGAAGTTCTGGTTTGGTTTGAACTCTCAAGTTACCAACGAACTTGCTCTAAAATCCACAAAACTACAGTGTCAAGAGATAGGATAAACTATTTATGAAGGTATCACCAGCAAAAGTTCTACTTGCCAACCAGAGTCAGTATATTTATAAGATCTCATTCACCATTTTATTCTAAGATGCTTTACTGGCTTGGCTGCCTCCAGTTCCAACCGCAAGTACTTTACTAAAATATCCTTCAAGCCAGGAACAGTATCTTAAAGTCAATGACACCCTTCATCATACCAGCATTATAACACAGAACCCTGAGATAATTGCATGTAAAGATCCAAAATCACCAGATGAATAATGAAAATTAAGTCAAATGATTTGTTAGATTTTAAAATGTTTTATAGAAAGCTTTAGGCTTCTATATTTAAAAACCTAGTAATGGTTTGCATTCTCTATAATCTTACAAAAAAAAAAACAAAAAAAAACCCCAAAAACCCTACAGACCAGAAATCAAAAATAGCTTTACACAAACAAAAGGAAAATTGTAGGTTTGCTGAGGGCATCAGCCACTTAATTTAACCCCATTTCATCAGGAGCAGGAAGCCACACTGCTGTTTTCACCAGTTACTAAGAAACAAGATAAAGGACAGATTGGGACAGAGAGTCTATAGCTGAAAGTATTATTTTGATGCGATTACTGAGAATTCCCAAAGTGTCACTAATAGACAAGAAAGAGCATCTAGGACTGCCTCTAAATGAGTCTACCTACAACAGAATCAGTGGTTAAGTAAAGACAAGACTTACTGGAGCCTGGGGGTGTTTTCCCCCTCTTTCCTACCCCCATCCTCCCATCCTCAACTCCCCTCCCCAAGCAGGAAAGAAAGCTCGCCCAGCATAAACACAGGCCATTGCTCGCGGCTCGTCACCACAACAAACTGGAGGTTAGACCAACGCTCCTGGAGACAGAACTCCAGGTCTTGGTTGCTAGGCACAAAAAGGGGACTCTTCCCCACAGACCTGTGAACAGTGTGGGTCTTACCAGAATTTTGGTTGTTTCTCCACCTTTCCTTTTTTGTTTTTTTAACGAAAGCTTTGAAAGTGGTGACAGCAAAAGTTTCCCTTTGGGCCAGACCTCTAGATCTGCCTTGCACAGATATACATTAGGTGGGCTGGTCTCACGTAGTCTCCACCGTCATTACAAATTACAAGCCTAACGACTACAGAACATCAGCGAAGACGACAGAAAAGCTTCCACACCCACCCCACTGTCGTCCGCTTCCTGATCCCCAACAGCAAAAATAACCCAAAATCATGGTGATAAGCGGAGCTGTGAAATACACACGCAAAAGCCACACACTGGGAACCTGCCACGACAGCCGGGGAAAAACCGGCCGAGTGAGAAGACGCAAGGCGGTCCCCTGTCACTTAAGGACAACACGCCCAGGCGAGAAGTGGCAGGAGGCAGGGGGAGTTGTCCCGAAAAACAGCCCAGAGCCTGCCCACCTTCCTGGGAACGCAATCCCCTCAGCGGCCGCGAGCCG